GGGTGCTGAGCGGCCAGCGCGACACCTCGGGAACCAGATCTCTAAAGAGCAGGATTGAAAAATAACCGAAACCCCGCCAGGGGAAAACACACCGGCTTCTTCTTCGCGTGTGCACCGGGGGCCACGGGACATCTGATGGGATCAGGTGAGCTTTGCACGGGACAGAGGTTAACGGCATCATAAAGTCACGTTGCTTTTGGGGGGACACAGCTCGTGTTTTCCACTGCTTGGTTTTATTTTTCAGCTGACCCTGCTGCTCTTGGGTAGTTTTGTGCACCTAAAAGCGGGATAGCATCCGATAGCTCTTCTGCTTATAGGTGCTTTGCTTTTTCCTTCTGTGCATAGAAGGAAAATGCTGCTGCAGTGGGGTTTTTTGTTTGGTTTGGTTAGGTTTTGCAGCTGGATTTCTTCAATTCTGTGCTGAAAAGGTTATCTGCAACGGTTTAATGCTTCAATCTGACACTTGCCATCGAAGCAGGCTGAAGGCAGGGCCTGGCTGCTCAGTCTCGAGCACCTCAGCTCCAGCTCTGCTGGGTTTTGGCTTAAATAAAACCAGATTTCTTCGAGGTGGTGAACTGCACAGTAGTGAACTGCTGTTAAATTCCTTTTGTGACAAAGACAGGTTTGACCCTGACCTGTGGGAGTCACGCCTCGCCCGAGTGTGTAGAAAGGAGGATTTGTCCTGAGAGGTGCCGGCCATGCCGAAATTGGAGTTCAGCTGGGATTTCACCCAGGCTTAAAAGGATTGGGACAGTTTGCACCACTTTCCCGCAGCCCCACTTAATAAAACCCACATGAGCAAGAAAAACAGCAGAGCGGCTTCTTGGCGAGAGGTGTGTGACAGCTTTATTGGAGCTACGTAGGCTTCACCAGCCGAGGATCTAACAGAGGATCTTTATTAGGGAGACGCTCTGGAGCATCGTGGGAGGTACCAAAACTGGGATCCCTTGTCTGAGAAAACTGGGATCCCTTGTCTGGGATCCGTCACCCCAGTGGGCCTTTTGCCCAGGCTGCCAGTGCACTGAAATGGCATTTCTACCCACGATTTCTCACTTTTTATTGGTATTAAAGCTTTCTCGCACGCCTGTTCCTAAAAGAAAGATTTGAGTTTAAAAGCAGTGGAAGCAATCCCGCTCGGGAGAGTTTGCAGATGAGTTTGGTGTCAGCGTTTTCCCCGTGGCAGCTGCGTGGGGTACGGAAACCACATGTTCTCCTGGAAATGGCACAGCGCAGTTTTCGGTTTCTCTGATGTCTAAAATGAGCAGAAACCTCGCAGGTTGTTAGTTTGCATTTCTGACTGCTCTCTGCCTTATTTTGTAGGGGCAGAATGATTTCAAGCTGATTTTACTGACAGGAAAAGGTTCTGTAGGCAAGAGGCAGCTTCACCCGCTGGAGTTAAAGGCAGTTTCGGAATTGCTGAAAAAATCAAAGCCCTGCTGCTCTGTCTTTAAGATGCACCTGAAGAATTGGAAGCAGGAAAAAGGGGATATCCCTTCAGTGCTCTGCCCCGTTTCTGTCTGCCTCTTCCCTCCGCGCTGTCTCGTTCCGTCCCGTTGCACGAGATAAAGACTTTCTGTTATCGCACGGTCTGACGGCTTCCCCGGGGCTGGCTGCCGCGCGCGTCGTGCCAGGAATTGGAGAGAGAAATCCCCGTACGACTGCTCGCTTTGCCGCCAGCTGCTTCCTTAGCGCGCTTCGCTCTCTCGCCAGCGTGCCTCCTGCTAGGACTTAGGGCTGGTTTAAGTCACCGGGGAGTTGAAGATGAGCCTCAACCTTTGCAGCATTTTGGGCTCGCCCATTTCTAATGTGCTTAGAAGGGGATGGCATTAGGGCTCGCTTAGACTCAGCTTATCCCAGCCCGTGGAGGAAAGGGCATTATGGAAAGGCTCCGGCTGGTGTTTAAGATCGCCCAGAAAGCGAGCAGGGAAGAGGCTGCGCCCCTCGGCGTGGACTCCCCGGCTCGTCGCCTGCGTGTGCGGCGTGGCAGGGATGCGCTCCGAAATGTCCTCCTCCTCCGCCTCCCCCATCCTTCGGAGCTGTCGTCTGAGAGGCCAGTGACACGGCTGGCACCGAAGGGGGGGAGCGGGGATGGGAGCAGGCAGCTCCCGCCGCGGGGATGCTGTAGCTGCCTCCCTGGCTGCTCGATGCATTCGGTTTATAGGGGTGCTGGGTGACAGAGGGCCTTGCACAGCCTCCTCCCTCCTTTCCTAGGCTCCTTTCCCTTTCCCTCCACTTGTACTTTAGGACCTGTTCCCCAGTTTCAGCCCTAGATGCCACCTCCAAACACATCCTTGGTACACGGGGATACAGGGGACACCAGCAACCCTAACCCTGGCCCCTCTGCTTGGCATTTTGACACCATCACCTTTTTTTCCTGCTTAGTTGCTCTTTTTCTGGGGTATATTTTCAGGCCTGAGCTCTTCTAAAAAGGTTCTCTTGTTCTCCAGCACAATAGATGCCCTTCAGGTGCTTGGGACAACCAGAGGGGCAGAGAATCCATCCTACCCCACGTGTGCACAAAAACAAGGGCTGGAGGTATCGCTTTCCTCCATGAGGGTTAAATTTCTTCCCAGGCAATTGTTCTGGCTCCACCACTTGACAAAAGAAGTCGCTTTTTGTTTTTCATCCCCTGTTTAAGGACAGTTAAGAGGAGGCAAAGGGCAGACAAGCAGCTTCTCCAGCAGAAGGGAAGGAGCAATCCTGGGCTCAGAAGGGCTCTCCTGGCAGAGGGCGAGGGTCTCCTGCAGGGGTTGGTGTGTACTGAGAGCATTCTGCATGAAATCAGTTTTAATTGTGTAGTTTGGAGCCCTCTTTCTGCCAAGCTTTTAAAATATGCATGGCTCGGCGAGAGCACTTGGAGGCTCCCATCGCAGCCTGACGGAAGGCAAGGCCTTTTTATTCTACCTCGTTTTTAGATGCTGAAACAAATGATCTCTGGGTAGGCTGCAAACCTGCGAGTGCAAACAGACAAATAGGATTTAAACGTGACTCATTTTGCCCTTCGGTCTCGGTTGCTGCGCGTACCGGGAAGGAGAGCTCAGAGCTTTGGCATCCTCACGCAGAGGCAGTCGTGTGGGCGATGGGTGCAGGGAAATTGGGACTTTCTGGACGTTATAGGCTACTGAGGACAGGGAAATATCCTCTAAATTATCCGTTCACGTGGCAGAGGCTGCACTAAAGGGCTGGGGAGCGAGCCTGACGGGTGCTGCGCCCTGGGTGCTGGGTGGCTTGAGCCCCCTCCGAGGACATTTGGGGGATGTTCTCAGCCAGAAATCACTTCTCTGGTGATGGGAGAGGTTGGGCTTCATTTTGGGGGTGTCAATGCAGGGATTTTTAGGGCAGAAACAAGGCTGGCACGAGGAGGAGCAGAGCCATCCCGCGGCAGGAGGCACATTTCCTGCAGAGCAGCCCCAGCCCCGTCTGCACAGCAGAAGCTTCGTCTC